ACACTGCAACTTGCTACAATCTTCCTTTCTCAGTCTTCCAGGTGCCTAGTTTCAATGCCTGCCCAGAAAGCTATTTTAAAGACTTTAAAATGAGTGTTCTTAAAAAAAAAAGAGAGAGAGCCGGGCGGTGGTGGACCACAGCCTCCAAAACAATACAGAGAAATCCTGTCTCGTAAAAAACAAAAACAAAAACAACAAAGTATTTTAAACTGGAGTGATGACTCAGTGGTTAAGAACACTGGCTGCTCTTCCAGAGGATTCCAGGGTTCAAACCTCAACACCTACACTGTAGCTCAGACATTCATAGTTCTAGTTCTAAAGGATATAATGCCCTCTTCTGGTCTCCAAAGATACCAGGAACACACACGTTACAGACATACATACTGTCAAAACAACTATATATTTAAAATATACCCCTCTTCCCTCCCTCCCTCCCTCCTTCCTCCCTGTCTCTGTTTTTCAAGACAAGGTTTCTCTTTGTAGCCCTAGCTGTGCTAGAATTCACTCTGTAGACCACGCTGGTAAAGCATGCACTACCCCTGCCCCCACTGCCCTGTAAAATAAACTTTTTTAAAAGTATTCTTTACAGAAATCCTTTATTTTATATGTGTATGAGTGTTCTCACTGCATATAAGTATACTATATGCTCCCAAGTGTCTGAGGTCAGGAGAGGGCGTCAGATTCCCTGGGAATCAAACCTGGATGCTCCGGAAGATCAACATGGGTTCTTAACTACTGGGCCATATCTCCTCTCCAGCCCAAATGAATGTTCTTACCATTATTTAGGGTCTTCTGTCTTGAACTCAACAAATATTTCCTGTTTCTATTATGTGCTATCAATAATGCTACCTCATAGTGATCTCAATGTCCAAAGAATCATTTCAACGTGTACACCAGGTGGCACATTCAGTTCAAACAACTTGGGGTACTTACTGATTCACTTCCCTAGATCTTTACATACACCACTTACTTAAACCATAAACACAATGGCAGACACTATTTCATTATACACACAAGGAAACCAGCACTCAGAAGATTCCACAGCCTGGAACTCAACCTAATGTATGTAGAAGAAAACATTTAGGGAGAAAAATGCACCTGTACTGTATACAGACTTTGTCTTTTTGGAGACAGAGTTCCCCTGTATACCCCTGGCAGTCCTGGAACTTGCTCTGTAGACCAGGCTGGCCTCAGAGATCCTCCTGCCTCTTCTTCTCAAGTTCTGGGATTAGAGGCCTAAACACCACTTCCCTGCTTTTTCCTTAAATACTGTTCAACAGCTGTTTACAGAACATTTACAATACACTGCACATTATATGTAATTAAATATTTAAAGTACAAGGGTATAATGATTTAAACTCAGTAGTACTTAGGCTAATATATAAATAGTATTCCATTTTACATAAGACTTGACCACTGGAGGATACATTGTTGCCTATATGGGAAGACTATACAGAATTTTGAACTTTTCAATTACATGTACATATATGTGTGTATATATTTGCCACAGCACACACATGGACATGAGCACATATGAGGATGATCTGCCAGATTTGGTTCTTTATCACTTGGGCAATTTGAAAATACTACCGGGGGCTGGAGAGATGGCTCGGAGGTTAAGAACACTGACTGCTCTTCCAGAGGTCCTGAGTTCAATTCCTGGCAACCACATGGTGGCTCACAAACACCTTGAATGAGATCTGGTGCCCTCTGCTGGCATGTAGGCAGAAAACTCTATACACAGTAAATAAATAATTTTTTTAAAAAAAAAGAAAACACAGCAGGGCGCGCCTTTAATCCCAGCACTCGGGAGGCAGAGGCAGGCGGATCTGAGTTCGAGGCTGGGCTGGACTGACAGCCTCCAAAACAATACAGAGAAACCCTGTCTCATAAAAACCAAAAAAAAAAAAAGAAAAGAAAACACTACCTAGGTTGGGCACAGTGGTGCCATGCCTGTAATCCCAGCTCTCAGGAATCTGAGGTTAGCCTAGACTACAAAGAGACCATGTTTCAAAAAGAAAAAAAGTAAAAATTACACGACCTAAACAGTCATTAGTTTCCTAATCTAATGCTATTTATAATTTTAGTCATATGTGATATAAAGATAACTCAAATATCCTTTAAGTATGATATTCATGAGACCTAAGCTTTATAATGCACAAGTAGGAAGGTAAGAATGTAGTTAGAAAATGGGGAGTCCCCCATGATAAAGAGACATTTAAATAGAGACAAAGGGTCCACAGCTAAGCACACAAGCTCAGTAGCAAGAGTGCTGTCATGTTTTCAAACTGAAAACTTTGAAATGCTGGATGTGGTGGGTGTATGCCTTTACTCCTAGGCAAAGGTAGGGGGATTTCTTGCATTCAAGGCCAGTCAGGTTGACAGCCCAAATTCCAGACCTGCCAGGAACTTACTGAGGCTTCAAGCACCCACCTCAAAAAATTAAATAAATGAAACAAAAAATAAAAATGCTGAAGACATTTACAGTTTTTACCAATGATTGCCTCACTTGGTGAGAGGACTCATTCATATATCTAAAATCTTTTAACATGATGGGCAATTTTTAAGGAGCAAAAAGGGCTTTAATGAGTCGACAATAAATTGTGCACCTTACCATACTGAAAGCAAAAGCCTCTCAAAAGCAAGATGTTATGTTCTCATTCTCCAAGACTTATCCAGAATGTTTCCTAAATCAGAGTAAATATTCTAAAACTTACCTTAGCAAAATTACTTAAACATCTAAATGTAGTAACTGAAAGACAAAAGAAATAAAGAGCAATAGAGAAACCCTGTCTGGGAAAAAAAAGCGCTTAAAAAAAAATCACAGAAATACAGGCCAGATAATACATTGTCTTTGGCAGAGTAGATTATCAGTTCCAAGGCATTGCAGAATAGCAGATCAATGGCTGAGTAAAAAAGGCTCTGATTATTATTTTGATTATTATTTCTTTTAAAAACCTAACTTGTGAAATGCTTTCTCCAAGTTTTTATCATTTGAGTGCATGTAAGTTAGACATGCAAAACTGGATGTGCTGGTACGTGGACTAGGAAGACTGAGGCAGAAAGCTTACCCAGGAATGTGAGACAAGCTTGGGCTAAAGGGTGAAACCCTGTCTGAAAACAAACAAACAAAAAAAACTAGAATACAGTAACTGTTCACAGATTGAAGAAAGCATTATTATCCAATCTTTATGAAAGAGAAATCAAACCTTTTAAGAAACAATTTTGAGACACATGTATTCATGATAGAAATAGTTAAGACAAAACTTTCAGATTTTCTAGGTTTATTTTAGAGATAGATAGGGTCTTACTCTGTAGCCCAGCAAGGATTCAAACTCCTGCCTTAAGCCTCCCAAGTGCTAGGATCTTACGTGTGAGCCACCACAATGTTTGGTTTTCCAGACTATTACCTATACTAATAATTCATAAGCAAAGCCGGGCAGTGGTGGCGCACGCCTTTAATCCCCCCACTCGGGAGGCAGAGACAGGCGGATCTCTGTGAGTTCGAGGCCGGGCTGGACCGACAGCCTCCAAAACAATACAGAGAAACCCTGTCTCGTAAAAACCAAAAAAAAAAAAATCATAAGCAAAATAATAACTATTATAGGAAGGTCCATCTAAAGCAGAACAAGTGACCCCCTAACTCTTTGTATGATTTAATAACATTTTAAAAGGACAATTTGTTTCACCTTATCATTTTAAATCCCAATGTAAGCACTTGCCAAGGTGACTTTGGGTCTAAAGATTTGAAAATACTATGATCTTTTAGAATGATGGCCTCATTACATATAAAAGACTTACCTTTTCATTCTGAAATAATTCAGTTAATTTATCTGAACTATGAACTGTAAATTCCTTGAGGGCAGGAATATCTAGCACAGCACTGTAAACTATAGATGCTCAATTAGTAGTTTCCCTGTAAGTCAATGCTTTAAATGTCTTTAAACAGAGGTTTCTTTTTACATCAATACACTCACACATACACCATCAGAGACTCAGTGGTATTCCAAGAGACAGTTGCTCTAAAGAGTTCTTATGAACCTCCTGAATTCTTATTATTACATAAAACTGCAAAGTTCAGAAGCAAAGAATAAGGATGAAATAAATCAGAACACCCATGTAACACTCTTTTCCTAGGGGAACTTCCCAAAACACGTGGGAGAGAAACGAACTCTCCGCAAATTCTGAACGATCCACAGGCGGACTTCCATTATCTCACTTGACCATCACAGCAACCCTGCGGCCTAATTCCAAGAATGAGTAAAACTCAGGATCTGGAGAGCTTAAGGGACTTGCCCCAAGGTCACTCCAGAAATCAGTAAAGGAACTATACCTAGAAGGTCGCACTTCTTCCGATCCTTCCACTACATCATTCCGCCTCCCAACTGTGGCACTATGACAGACAGTACGAAAGCGGGGAATGCACAGTGTAACCCGCACTACCCCAGCCCTACCAAGGAGGCGCATGCTTACATCTGAAATCTGTCCCTAGCAGCTCGCCGGCAAGAACTAAGTTGTACCCGACAGGCAGATCACTGATCCGCCTAAAGCTGAGACAAGGCTGACAGCGCAGCACCCAATGGACTAGCTACCCTTCCCAGGACCCTCGGCATCCCCGGCGCCGGAGAGACTGGTCTGGGACATGTCTGTACCCTCCCAGGGAGTTTCGCCCCCTCCCTGGAGCAAGGAACCAGCTGGGAGTGAGCCAGAGGGCGGCGGGCCACCAAAGCCGGCCATGTGTCCAGCCCGTCACGCCCGCCTAGCCCGGCCGGCTCCTCAAGCCCAGACCGCAGCCAAAGGCCCACTCTGAAGCAGACTGAGAGGCGGCCTGGGCGCCGGAGCCCCACAGCGAGGCACCCGAGCCTGGCACGGAGAGCAGATCTCCGCCCCACCCCTCCAAAAGGACCTGTCGGCGACTCGGTCCGAGGCTCCCGGCCAGGCCGGAAGACTCGGCCTGCCGGTCCACCAGCCCGCAGCAGCCGCTAGCCGGCCGGCCTTACTTCACTGAGCTGGCGCTCCGCGGCCTCGCGCAGGGCTGGGTCAATGGTGCCCCGTAGGGCCTCGATGATGGTGTTGGGATCCATCGCCGCACGATCGGCCAAGCCCGGGACACCGGTGCTACTGAGCCAGAAATAGCGCCACTCACTGCGCACATGGACCGGCCGCGCTCCGCAGCGGCAACCGGCGCGAAAGGAAAGAGAAGCGCCAAGGCCCCGGATAGAACCTTCTCGCCTCGGCGTGGAGGCGGGAGATGCTCCGGCCACTTCCTGTCAGCGTACCCGCGGAGCATCTTGGGAGATGTAGTCCGCAATCGTAGGCACGGCCCACGTGGCTGGCTCCCGCAGAATAGGCTAGCTTTTGAGAGAGAAAACGTTCAAATTACACAGAAAGAAAAGTAAAGCACTTACAAAGATTTATATGATATTCCTAGAGGACATCAAGTAATGTGTGATGCAATACGTTGCTACTGTGTAGTATTAAAAGAAACTTCTGTTTTGGTTTTCGAGACCAGGCTTGCTTTGTAGCCCAAGCTGACCTGAACTTGCCACTGCCTCAGCCTCCCAAATGAAACTTTCTGAAAAATGATTTGAGCTGTATTTCTTTTTTTTTTTCGTTTGTTTGTTTTGTTTTTTGTTTTCCAGACAAGGTTCTTCTGTAGCTTTTGAGCCTGTCCTAGAACTTGCTTTGTAGACCAGGCTGGCCTCGAAATCACAGTGGTCAGCTTTCCTCTGCCTCCCAAGTGCTGGACTTGAAGGCATATGCCACCACCCCCTGGCTTGAGATGTATTTTAAATGCCATAAAAACTGTTTCCCTCTGATTCACTAATCTCATTTGTGAGACTTTATCCTAAGAAAACAGTATAATACAAAGGATCAAATGTACAGGGTGGTGGTGGCTGCGGCAGCAAATGCCCTTAGCACCAGCACTCATGAGGCAAAGGCAGGTGAATCTGAGTTCAAAACCAGTGTGGAGGGAATACGCGCGTGCGCGAATTTATGTGCTTTGTCTATGAAAGATAGCAATTTAAATATCTGTAACTACAATATACTGAAGTTATGTCTTATTAACAACTGTGCAAATCTCAGCTAGGTCATTATATAAATCATTTCTAAATACAAAGTAAATGCATAATGTCTATGAAAACTAGTGGTCTTCCTAGGTATGGGTACACAAATCTGATTCACTAGTTCTCAGTCTGTGGGTTTCGACACTTTGGGGTCAAATAACCCTTTCACAGTGGTCACATATCACATCACTTATCCTATATGTCAGATATTTACATTATGATTCATAACCCAACTAGACACATACATAAACATATAATTAAAAAAGAAAAACTAAGGGTCTGGAGAGATGGCTCAATAATTAAGAACACTAGCCACTCTTCCAGAGGACCCAGGTTTGATTCCTAGCATCCACATGGCAGCTCACAATCACATGTAACTCCAGCCTCAAGGGACCCATCAGACCTCTTCTGGCCTTGCAGACACCAGGCATGCAGGTAGTACACAGACAAACATGCAGGCACAACACTCATACACATAAAATAATAAAATGCTTTTTTTTTTTTGGAGGGGTTTTGAAACAGGGTTTCTCTGTATTGTTTTGGAGGCTGTCCTGGAACTTGCTCTGTAGTCCAGGCTGGCCTTGAACTCACGAAGATCCACCTGTCTCTGCCTCCCGAGTGCTGGGATTAAAGGTGTTCGTCACCAGTGCCCCGCTTTGTGGGGTTTTTTTTTTCTTAATAAAATGCTTTTAAAAATAACTTTGAAAAAAGAATGCAGTACAGCCATTATTTTCATAGCATTCATATCATGTTGGGTATTAAAAGTGGCCTAGAAAAGATGACTATTATATTACTTGGCTATTGGGCTGAAAATTAATTGACCAAATATGAATAGATCTATTCCTGAACTCTAACTAGTTCCATTGATCTATTTACCTTTTCCTATGCAATACTATGATACCTTTATTAAAGTGGTTTTTTTTTTGAAACTCTTGAAATCAGTATGTGTAAGTCCTCCAAATTTGTTACCAATTTTTCAAATGTTTAGATTGCTCAGAGTTATTTCCAAGTATGGAAAACAAGTTAGTCTGTAAATAACATCTGCTGGGAGTTTCATAATTATGAAATATAATTCATTAATCAATTTGGATAAAATTAACCTCTTAACAATATTAAATATTATGATCCACAAATGTGATATGTCTCTCTATTTAATTAGAAATTTAAAATATTGGTTCATTTTTACTTTATGAATATGTGTGTTTTTGCCTACTTGTGTGTCTGAGTGCCTGTGGAGGCTGGAAGAGGGTATCCAATCTCTTGAAACTACAGGTACAGGTAGTAGTTAGCTATCATGTAGTCCTTGGAACGCAACTTGGATCTTCTCCAAAGTCTGGCCTTCACGGAAAATTTTAACAGAATTTTACAAGGGATTAAGTCACTGGCTCCAGCTAATTTCAATGACCAGATAATGAATATCATTATTTTTTAATCAAATGAACATCACTGGTTTTTTGTTTTGTTTTTCGAGACATGGTTTCTCTGTATTGTTTTGGAGGCTGGCCTGGAACTCCCTCAGTAGACCCGGCTGGCCTGGAACTCACAGAGATCCGCCAGCCTCTGCCTCCTGAGTGCTGGGATTAGAGGCATGAGCCACCAACACCTGGCTAGGAACATCACTGTTTTTTAAAGTAATACCCATCAATAGTTGCTTTCAACCCTTATGTTAGATTTTACAGTTTCTTTCAATTTCTGTATTGCTGCTTTCAGCAAATAGTACACATGTACTAACTAGGTCAGGGGCATGATAGAGTAAATAACTGAAGATTGAGGCTACTTATTAGCTTAGGTTGTAAAAGTTGATTACATGAGAATTCCAAGACAAGTAAGATTGGTTGTTACATTGTTCTCTTAAAGGCAGGTTAAACAAACAGTTTGAGTACAAGGTAGGTATATTAGTCAGGGTTTTCTTTTTCTTTTTCTTTTTTTTTTTTCTTTTTCTTTTTCTTTTTTTTTTCTTTTTTTTTTTTTTTTTTTTTTTTTCGAGACAGGGTTTCTCTATATTGTTTCAGAGGCTGTCCTGGAATTCGCTCTGTAGACCAGGCTGGCCTTGAACTCATAGAGATATGCCTGCCTCTGCCTCCCGAGTGCTGGGATTAAAGAAGTGCACCACCAATTCCTGGCAAGGTTTTCTGGTTTTCTAGAGGAACAGAACTTAAAGAATGATTTCTCTCTCTCCTCTCTCCTCTCTCCTCTCTCCTCTCTCCTCTCTCCTCTCTCCTCTCTCCCCTCTCCTCTCCTCTCCTCTCCTCTCCTCTCTCTCTCTCTCTCTCTCTCTCTCTCTCTCTCTCTCTCTCTCTCTCTCTCTCTCTCTCTCTCTCTCTCTCAAGTGGGGAAGTATTTATCAGGATGGCTTATGGTCTGACTATTCCAACAATGGCTGTCTACCAACGGAAGGTCCAAGAATTCAGTAGTTGTTTAGTCCATTATGCTGGATGTCTCAGTTGATCTTCAGTGTATTCCGGAATCCCAAAGTAGGCTCTAATTCCAGTGAAGGAATGAACTAACCAACAAGAGCAAGCAGGCAAAGAGGGAGCAGGGGCTAGCCTCCTTCTTCCATGTCCTTTACAAACATTTCCAGCAGAGGGTGTGGTCCTGATTAAAGGTGGGTCTTTCTACCTCAAAAGATCTGGATTAAAGGTGGATCTTCTGATAAGAAAATATGAAATCACATGGAAGTAACGGCACATGCCTTCAAATCCAGCATTTGGGAGACAGAGGCTGGCAGATCTCTGTGAGTCTGAGGCCAGCCTGGTCTACAGAGTGAGTTCTAGGATGGGCTCAAAAGCTACACAGAAAAACTGTGTCTGGGGGGAGAGGGGGAACAAGGTGGGTGTGACAGCCTCCTGAACTTGCTCTCCAAGGATAAACAAAAGTAGAGAAAAGTTAAGGAGGACACTCAACATCAGCTTCAGGCCTCCACATGCAGCACACATAAGTGCATGCAGAGGCCCACATACACAAGAACACACACACACACACACACACACACACACACACACACACACACACCATGACTTTACCTCCTGAAATACCACCTCTGGCAACACCTGTGTGCTTATAGCTCCCCTGTGCTACAAAGTCCTTTCATCTAGTTTATCTACAAGTCCATCAATTCCTTCCAAGTCAACCCTTGCATTATCACTGGGGTCACTGCTCCAAAATAGCAGGTAATAATCTAGTTAAAATAACAGGGATTATGGTGATAGGAAGGAATAATAATAAGGGCCGGTGAGATGGCTTAGTTAGTAAAGGTGCTTGTCGCCAAACTGATAGCCTGAGTTCAGTCTCCAGGTTCCACAGAGTAGAAAGAGAAACCATCCTTAGATTTAATGAATGCACATGCACATACGCGCATGCGTGCACTCACACACACACACACACACACACACACACAATGAATAAGTGAAATGTAATACGATTTAAATAACAACATTAATTTAGGGGGAAGTAAACATTCAAACCACAGTATTACCCTTAAGTCTTTTTGGTAATTATTTATTCAGATCCCACCAGGGTCTCGTGTAACCCAGGTGTGGTGCTTTGAATAAGAATGGCCCCCATAGGCTCCTATATTTGAATGCTAGTCATCAAGGAGTGGCACTATCTGAAAGCATTAGGATAAGGAGGTATAGCCTTGTTGGAAGAAGTGAGTCACTGGGGGTGGGCTTTGAGGTTCCAAAAAACCCAAGCCAGTGTTTCTTTCTTTCTGCTGCCCGATGATCTGAATGTAGAACTCTCAGCTGCTTCTCCAGCACCATATGTTGGAACCCGGTATTATGCTGACCCCGCCCCTGACAATGGGTGGGACACCCATATCAGCATTCAGGCAGACTCAGGCAGCTCAAAGGACCCTGTGCAAATTTCCCCTTTTAAGTGAGCTCCTCCACATGTTTGCTTTCTCTCTCTCTCTCTCCCTCTACCTCCCTCTCTCCCTCTCCCCCCTCTCCCTTCACCCCCTGTCCCTTTGCCCCCTCACCCCTTCCTCCAACACACTCCACATGGGTTTCTTGAGTCTAGTGGTTCCTGTTTTTATGTGCTTGTAACTGGTTTCCTGTTCCATCTACCTGCGAGTATAACTGCAGCAAAAGAACAACACCATATGTGCCCTCCAGCACCATGTTTGCCTGCATGCTGCCAAGCTGCCTGCCATGATGATAATGAACTAA